CAAAAAGAGCCGGACAGCCATGGAGGTCTCCGAATGGAGGGCGAGCGGCACGATACGAAAAGGCAGGGCGAGAGGGATGGAGAAAGAAGTGCCGAGAAGGCCATGGTGGAGGGGAGGGACGGGAGGACGAAAGAAGGGCGAGGAGGGCGAGCGGCCCGCACAGACCGCGAGCAGACAGCGCCTGCTGGCCATTTCGAGACATTCGCCAAGAACGCTAGCTACATGGGAGGGCTTCGTGAAGGAGGGATTGAAAAACACTCGAACAAAGAAGAGGCGACGGGAGGAACCGGCGGAGGATGCAGTGACGTGACACACACACACACACACACACACACACACACACACACACACACACACACACACACACACACACACACACACACACACACACACACACACACACACACACACACACACACACACACACACACACACACACACACACACACACACACACACACACACACACCGCTCACCCACGCGCACTGGGCCTTGCACTTTGAATGCCGTGGGGCTCCTGTCGTCAGACGTGGAGACGCGAGGGTTGCCCCCCCTTGCCCCACCACCTCGTGTGTGTGGAGAAGTTTACCTTACCTTACCTTACCCATGGTCTCACAGTGTGCCGGCAGTCGCCGAGCAGTGTCGCTCACACAAGCCGCAGCACAAGTGACTGGGGGCCAGTGAGGGCGAGCTCATCGCTGTCACAGCTGTGGCAGCCGCACAGTAGGCTGTGTCAACTGTGCAGAGTGTGTGAACAGCAGAGGAGCTGCTCTCCAAGCTTCAGGCGCAAAGAGCTGCATGCCGCCGATGGCGCTGTCGAGGTTCGCCGAGCGCGGCGCAGGTTGGAGGACACCGTCACCGACGAGCGCGTTGGACTTTTCACTCCGGACAAAGACGGCGACACGCACACGAGCTGCGGCCGTGTCGCCGTCATAGCGGCGAGGCGCGGGACCGTCTGTGGCGAAGTGGGTCGCGTCCTCCGATTTCCTCAACTCACGGTCCGCTCCCTCTAGTAGAGCCGGAGCCCCGAGCCCGTTTCCGCACTGCTGCACGGCGCACGGTGCCTCCGGGGGCCCCCGCCTCCCCCCAGAGGCACAGCGCTGGGCAGGGACTGGCGCGCAATGGACATAGGCACACTACGGGAGCCTCCGAAAGAGTAATGAACAAAGCAAAAACGAAGCCCGCGTAATCGCTCCCAACCCATCGCACCTCGCCGAGTGCCGAGGTGCGCGATCTCGGGCCGCGCCGCGCAATCTCGGGCGATCTCGCGCGATCTCGGGCAATCTCGGGGCCGCGCCGCGCTATCTCGGGCGATCTCGGAGCGTCGCTCGCGCGGCGGCACACCTGCTCAAAAAAAGGAAGGGCCCGGTTGGAGCCACGGGGCTCACGTGCTCGCTCGGTTCTCGCCGCCTATCGGCCGAGGCGATTGCGGCGCCGGCGGCGCTGTCGGGCGATTAGAGAGTGGATGACCCCCCCCCAATGAACACACCAGGGAGGGAGGGCGAGACGATCGAGGGGTCCCGTACCATGCGGAATCGACCCTATCAAGTGCTCAAGTGCTCAAGTGGATGTGTTTCTCAGGGATAGGATTCGCTTTGGCGGAGGTAGTGGGCCTTTGCAATAGCAGATTCACATGCGTAATCTCGTCTCTCAAAACGCGACGGCCCCACCACGCTCGAGATACGGGGAGATAGGGGAGGGAGATACGGGAGGGGATAGAGGGGAATACGCGGAGATAGAGAGAGATACGGGGGGATAGCGCAATAAATCGTCCAGACTGGGGCTACGTACAGTGCTCACTGGGAGTGAGAGCGGCCGTCAGAAACCACGCCTGCGTGGATCGCGTCAGCTCACACCAATCCTCGCTACCCAACGCGGCCAAAGGATATCCACCTCGAGAACCTCGAGGAGTGAGAGCGGCCGCCGAGACACGCCCGTGGGTAAGATACTCGTACTGTTGTGGCCTAAAGTCTGCACAGGTTGTCAGGGACACGATCCCGGCGTGAACACGACTAACTGACGGATCCGCTCCTGACAGTCGCACGCGCCGCGCTGCGGCGCGTGCGACTGTCTTTGTTTGAAGTTAAAAGTCGAATCAGAGCGCCGTCGGCGCTGTCCCTCGTTTTCCTCCCACGGACCGCCCGTCCGGGACCGCTCCGGGACGCACACGCCAAACACAAAGAGTTGTTTGGTATTGCTAAAAATCTCTCTCTCACACGCCGGCGAAGCACCATCAAGCTGCTGTACGGCCCCGGCATCGCCTCCCCTGGCTTAGCTAGACTTAGAGATATTGTGCTCATGGACAGTCTCTACAATATACTCACTGACACCTTACCTCCCAGAGCTCGTCCCGGTCCGCCACGGCCATCCTCGGCCTCCGGAGGGCCCCCGCGCCCCGGCCGCGGCGCGGTGCGGCGGAGTCACAAATCCGACGGCAGAGCACCGGGACGCGGTCGGGCGATCTGAGGCCCAACTAGGCGTATGCATTGCCCATCCAGGGCTATCACCTGGACCTATCAACAGTGTGAGTGAGTATTCTTGATACGAAACCACGACGACACACACCAGTCGACTCGCATCGGTTGCCTCCATGAACGGCGGAGCTATTCTCGCGTCCACACCACACCTGGCTCCAACATGGACACGCCCATAGCTGGGGACACTACTAGGTCACGCATGGCATCAGAAGTTTTATCTCTGGGCCCCGAAAGGCATCTCTAGCAGCGTCGTTACGCATGCGCCCTCCCCTCCTGGGTGCATACGCCTCACGTCTCGCCAGAGCGTAAGCCCTTGGCGTGTGACGAGACGAGTTCTTCGCCATCGCAGCGAGCAGCACACCACTCGCCGCAGCAGCCGGAGGCATCGCCGCAGCACTGTCTGCGCCGCAGTCCCGCACCCGTCGACGAAGCTCCCCCCGCGGAAGACCGCGCGTAGCGACGCCTTGACGATCGAGATGAGCTCGCTCGAAGCTCGCCCACCTACTGCCCCTGAGAGTTGGTTACCGAGTGGGATCAGCTCCCCCCCTTGGGATCGAAGCCGCCACACCTCGCACCCAACATCCCAGGCGGGATCAGAGAGAGACTCCGCACCGGACACCGCCCGGGCACAGACCCCCTACCCGTCGGACTACGCCTGGACTCCTCACAGAGCAGCCCACGCACAGGTCACGCATCGGCAGATTTGACACCTGGTTCAGGCGTAGACAGCACACACTGGTCACAGTTGCATAGCCCTGCCGGGGGGGACGAGTTCGCAAGGTTAATATTAAAGAACACACACACACACACTCACACTATCAACAGGCGCCTGCGGCGCCGTGCTCAGGAGCGGCTGCTCCAACCTGTTCACACAAAAACACAACCACGGACCCAAGACGCACAAGCTCAGACAGTCGAGAAAGGGACCGTGTTCAGCTGTTCACGTAAACGCACAACCCCGGACCCGCATCAGCTGTTCACACTTTCGGAGTTCCCCATTTCTCGCCCATGGGTGCCTCGAACCGCCCCGGCCTCCTCGACGCCAAGCTCGAGCTGCTGCTCGGCTGCGCGCTGCCGCCGCGGCATGCCGAGGGCGCGAGCAGCTCGCTCCGGCAGGCCCTCTCCGCCGCGCCGCGCGACAAGCTGCTCGCGTACGCGCTCCACTTTGCGCAGCAGTACGGCACGGCGGGCGAGGCAGGGACGGGGGTGGCGCTGCTCGAGGAGTACACGCGGGCGTACACGCAGCAGTATGGCTTAAACGCCGTCGACCGCCGCCTCGTCACCCTCCGCCCGCAGCTGCTCGAGGCGCACCTCGAATCGCTCTCTCGAGAGGCGCGCCCGCCGCCCCGACCCCGCCCGCACTTTCGCCTGCACTTTCGCCTGCACCCCCACTCTCCGCCCCCGCCGCTGCCGCCGCCACCGCCGCCCGCCCGCCCGCCATCCATCCAACCTTCCAAGCCCGCGCCGGCAGGCGAGCGCCTGCAAGCGAGTCGCGCGCAGCGGAGACGCGGCGGCGGCAGAACAGCAGGCCGCAAAGCAGGCGGAGGTGCAAGACGCGGAGGCGGCCCTCGGCGCCGCCCGGCGAGAGCTGAGCCGGCTGGTGGCCAAGTCTGCCGGCGCCGGGCCCGACACGGTGGCGGCGGGTGGCGGCCGGGTTGGCATCGGTGTCGGCGGCGGTGCTGGTGGCGGCGTGGGTAGGCGGGCCTCGGCGGACTCCGCTGTCGGCGGCTTGTCTGCAGACCTGCTGCGGCTGTCGGTGGGTGGGATGGGCGCGGTCACCCCCACCACGCCCTTTGGGCCGCTGCCCCCGCGCTGCGCCGCGCTCGGCGGCCCGCCGTGCCCGCCGTCAGCGAGTCGCGGCGCGGCATCCCGCGCCACCGGCGCGTCGGGGGCAGCGCCCGCGTCGCTCCAGCCGTCTGCGGCGCCGACCCCCTCAAAGGCGGGTGTCTCCGCCGCCGCCGCCGCCGCCGCCCCCCCGACCACGCCCACAGAGGCGGGTGCTGCGGCGCTGAAGGGACCAATCGCCGCCCCCTTCGCCGCCGCCGCCGCTCCCTCCGCCACGCCCGCCGCCACGCCCGCCGCCACGCCCGCCGCCACGCCCGCCGCCATGCCCGCCGCCATGCCCGCCGCCACGCCCGCCGCCACGCCCGCCGCCATGCCCGCCGCCATGCCCGCCGCCACGCCGACGCCCGCCGCCACGCCGATCGGCGGCGTGAGTGGCGAGCGAAGCGGCGCTTCTTGCGGACCGGGGAGCGCAGGCCGGCGCGGGAGCACGGGCGGACGGCTCAGCACCCTAGAAGCTGAATACGTCACCTGTATTCACACCAGCACTCGAGAGGACACGCATTCAACTGTATTCAGCCGTTGTCCGCTGTATTCACTGCCCTCGCCAGCCCCTCGTATGCACGATACCCTCTTCGTGCCCCGAGGTTGGCGTATTCGGCACGTAGGCTCAGCACGGGAGGAGTGCCGTCGCGGTCTCGGTACAACCTCTCCACCTCCCCCTCGCTCGCCACGCCTCCGACGGCTCAGGCCGCCGACGCCGCCGCGCGCCGCCGCGCTGCCCTCGCCAGCGCCTCGCCGCTCCCCTCCACGCCACGCGCGAAGCCGCTGCCAGAGGCGGCGGCGGAGGTGGCGGCGGCGGCGGCGGCGGCGGCGGCCGTGGCGCAGGTGGCGGCGGAGCGGGTGGCGGGCATGGCGGCGGAGGGGAGGGAGGAGGAGGGGACGGCGGGGCGTCGGGCATCGTCGCGCGCCGAGGTCGTCTCGCTCGCGTCCGAGTGGAAGCGGCGGCTGGCGCGGCTGCAGCAGGAGGCTGCCACCCTCGTAGAGGGGCTTCCCCAGCGGCTGCGGCACACCGCCGGCGGCGACACCGCCGGCGGCGACATGGCCGGCGGCGACATGGCCGGCGGCGACATGGCCGGCGGCGCGCCCGAGCGGGCGGCCGCAAAAGGCGGCGGCGGCGGCGGCGGCGGCGGCGGGCTCCCGAGTCTGGATCCGTGGGTGTTTCGGCACTATTTGCTCGCGTCGAGCCGCGAGACGCACGGCGGCTCGCTGCGTCAGATGCGGCTGCAGCCCGTCGGTGCGGAGGGCGGGGGAGGAGCGGCGCCGCCCGCCGTCACGCTCACGCTGCTGCTCTTCGACGCCGCCGCGCCGAAGGCCATCGCGGCGCTCGACGCGGCGCTGGAGGCGGCGACGTCGGAGGCGGCGGGGGCGGCAAAGTGCGACATGCTCTCGCCACAGGCTCTCTCCTTTGCGGTGTTGGCGCCTAGATGCGGCTAGATGCCTGAGACAGATCCACATCTCCCAATCTCTCCCCGTGTCTCGGAGCCGAGATGCGGGACACAGACCGGCGTACCCCGACAAGCTCTCGGACAGACACGACACGTCTTTGACTGTCTTGAGCCCACACTGATTCACACCCCCCCGACGTTGGTGTACGCACACCGCACAGGCGCGCCAGCCAGCGAACACTTCCTAGACACGTCCTAGACACTTCCTACGTGCAGGCGCCCCAGCCAGCGACCGCCTCCGCCGGCGCGGCGGGCGCGGCGGCGGCGCTGGCCGACGAGCGGGCGCGGCTGCCGCACTGCGGCACGGAGTTGGTGAGCGCGCTCCTGCCCCCCGGTGGCGGGCCATTGCGGCTCGCGATCTCCCTCGGCGAGACTCCGCCGCTCGGCGAAGGTGCGGCGGCCCCGTAGATGCGGGACACAGGGGCGAGCAGTCCGACTGGCGCTCGAGAGGGCACTTTCAGCCGTCCCTGCCCCTCGTGGCCCCTGCAATCCTTCTTCGATGCTCGAAAGACACTGCACGCGGCCGTATTCACAGTGACGTGTTCACACCACCCTAGGCGCGGCGGTCGTCGGCCGCGCAATCGGCGGCCTGACGGAGCTGGCAGACTTGTGCGGCAGCGCGGCCAGCGGCCGCGCCGCTGCTGCGGGGCCTGCCGCCAGGGTGAAGCTGGCCGGTTGGAGGCGGCTGGGCGCGGCCGCCGCAGGGGCGTAGGGAGGCGGAGTCCAGTCGTGCACCCAACCGACAAAGCAATGCGCGCAGTGTCGCCGTGCACTCAACAGACAATGCAAAATCCTAGATAGAGCCGATCTCGCCGAGAAGAACGCGCGGCAGCGCCGGCTGGCGGCGGTGCGCGGGGTCGGCAGGTAAGACTAAGACGGTAAGAGCTAAGAGCTCCGACCTGCCCTTTTGCTTTTGCGTTCCACACTGTTCACTGTGCTGGCTGCGCGCCTGTGTGAGGACACTGCATGTAAGAGATGCATTCTACCCCCGCCCAAACACCTACACACGTCCTCGGCCGGGGGCCCGGGGGCGAAACTGTTCATATGCGGCGACGCCGGCAGCAGCAGCTCGAGCTCGCCAAGGGACGAGCTCAACGACGCCGCGCGGTAGTATACGTCCCGTCGTGCGTCCTCGCACTCTACTCTCTCCCTCGCTCGCCACCGCGTGCAGCAGCACGGTGCGCGCAAACTCAAAGACAGCGCCGTGAGCGTGAGGGCGCGAAGCCACTGCAACTCCCCTACTGCGTCTCGCGCGCGATGGCGAAGCCCAAGACGCAGTGGCCAAAGTCGAGCGCCGCGATGCCGTTCGTGGCTCCGGCCGAGTCGAGGTGGTACCGCTCGTGGATCTCGTAGATCGAGAGGACGAGGAGCGCCGCCCGCGCGCGAGCCGCCGCGGGGAAGAGCGAGTGGCTTGCCGGCGACCACGGCGCCGCCGCCCGCCGAACCAGCGCCGCCGCCTCGCCCGCCCCGCCCGCAGCGCGCCGCAGCGGCGTCGGCTCGCCCTCGTGCAAGCTTGCGCCGCTGCGCAGGAGGGAGGTGGCGCGGGCGGCGGTGAGGGTCTCAAGGTGCGCGAGCGGCGTCCAGCCGCGGCTGGCGACCAGCCAGGCGGCGAGGTCGGCGTGGCCTTCTTCGGTTGCAACCTCCTCGGGCGTGCCGAAGGGCGTAGCGGCACGGGAGGCGCCGTAGGAGGAGAGGAGCTTGGCGACCTCGAGGTGGCCCTGGTGGCACGCAGCGAACAGCGGCGTGGCGCCTTGTTCATCAGCCTGGTCGATCGCCGCGCCGGCCTCGAGAAGCAGCCGAACGCACTCCAGGCGGCCGTTCTGGCTCGCCATGAACAGCGGCGTGGCGCCGTTGCTGCGGGCTTGGTCGATCGCTGCGCCGACCTCGAGGAGCAGCCGGGCGCACTCGAGCTGGCCGTTCTGGCACGCGACGTACAGCGGCGTGGCGCTGTTGTGCTTGGCTTGGTTGACCGCTGCGCCAGCGTCGCGCAGCAGCCGAACGCACTCGAGCTGGCCCTCCTGGCACGCGATGTACAGCGGCGTGACGCCGTTGCCGCAGGACTGGTCGATCGCTGCGCCAGCCTCGAGGAGCAGCCGGGCGATGTCGAGGTGGTTGTTCTGGCTCGCGATGTACAGCGGCGTGGCGCCGTTCTGGTTGGCTTGGTTGATGGCCGCGCCAGCGTCGCGCAGCAGCTGGGCGCACTCGAGCTGGCCGTACTCGCACGCGATGAACAGCGGCGTGGCGCCGCTCTCCTGGGCCTGGTTGATGTCAGCGCCAGCGTCGCGCAGCAGCTGGGCGCACTCGAGCTGGCCGTTCTCGCACGCGATGAACAGCGGCGTGGCGCCGCTCTCCTCGGCCTGGTTGATGTCAGCGCCAGCGTCGCGCAGCAGCCGGGCGATCTCGAGGTGGCCCTTCTCGCACGCCATGTACAGCGGCGTGGCGCCGTTCTGCTTGGCTTGGTCGACTGCCGCGCCAGCCTCGAGGAGCAGCCGGGCGCACTCGAGCTGGCCCTGCTGGCTCGCCATGAACAGCGGCGTGGTACCATCGTTTATCGCTTGGTTGATGTCAGCGCCAGCGTCGCGCAGCAGCTTGGCGCACTCGAGGCGGCCCTCCTGGCACGCAATGAGCAGTGGCGTGACGCCGTCCTTGTCGGCCTGGCCGACTGAAGCGCTGGCCTCGAGAAGCAGCTGGGCGCACTCGAGGTGGCCGTTCTGGCACGCGACGTACAGCGGCGTGAAGCCTTCAGCGTCTGCTTGGTTCACCGCCGCGCCAGCCTCGAGGAGCAGCCGGACGCATTCGATCTCGCCGTTGAAGCTCGCGACGTACAGCGGCGTGCGGCCTTCAGCGTCTGCTTGGTTCACCGCCGCGCCGGCCTCGAGGAGCAGCCGGGCACAGTCGATCTCGCCATTGAAGCACGCAACGAACAGCGGCGTGGTACCGCAGTTCATCGCTTGGTTGATGCCAGCGCCAGCCTCGAGGAGCAGCCGGGCGATCTCGAGGTGGCCCTTGTCGCTCGCGACGAGCAGCGGCGTGGCGCCAGCCTCATCGGCCTGGTTGATCGCCGCGCTCGCTTCGAGGAGCAGCCTGGCGCAGTCGAGGTGGCCCCCCTCGCTCGCGAGGACGAGCGCGGAAGCGCCGCCGCCATTCGTCGCTCCGACGCTCGCGCCGCCCTCGAGCAGCAGCCGCGCCCCCTCGGCTTGCCCGTGAAGAGCGGCCCAGGTCAGCAGCGTGTCCCGCTTCTCGGTGTCGTGCCGCGCGTCGAGCTGGGCCGTGAGCGACGTGCCGCGCGTCCCCTGCCCGGAGAGGAAGGCGCGCAGCGAGGCCAGGTCGCCCCGAGCCAGGTCGGCGAGCTGGGTTGGGAGGATGGCGCCGCTCATATATATACAGGGTTTTTTCTAATTTTTCGCTTAGGCGGCTCCGGCGGTGAGCCGGTGAGTGTGTACTTGTTACGTGAAAACCCGCTGGGACCCGGACGCCAGCACACACGGCTAGATTTCATGGCGGGCCGCCTAGGCCCTGGGGTCGGAGTCAGAATCGGTTGGGTGGCCGCGCAGGGCGCGGGCTTCGCTTTCGGGGGCGGTCAGGGAGGGGTCGGGGCGCTGCAGGGGAGCGCGAGGCGGTGCGGGCCTCCTGGGCCACCCGAGAGGCTTCAGCATCTGGGTGCGGCGGCGGCGGGAGGGCGGGCCGGTTGCGGCCGGTAGGAGCTGGGAGGCATTCGCCTCGCGCGGTGGCGGTGGCAGCCGCGCGAGAGAAGGGCCGGCGGGGAGCTCGGAGGCGGTGGCCTCTGAGACAGGGCGATGGCGTTGGCGGAAATGCGAGAGCGTGTGGGCAATGATCCCCTCCCAGTGGCCAGGGTCCCCTCGAGCAGGCCGCTCGCGGCGCGGCTGTGGCCGGCGGGGCTGAGACGCGAGTTTGTCGAGGGACTGCTCGAGGGCACGGTTGGCGGCTTCCTCTGCACGAGCAGTTGCGAGATGGTCGTCCCCGTCAGACGGAGGGTCGTCGGAAGAGTCATCACCCGAGGAGGTGTCCTCGGGGGAGCCGTCGGTGGGTGGCGCGTCCTTGGTAGAGGAGCGGTTCGCGCGCAAAGACTCGAGCAGGCCAGAGGGGAAGCGGGGGGCGTAAGTGTATTGGCGGTCTAGGCCTAGGGCCTTGAGACGCGCGCGATCGTAATGCGAGGACCTCCGGTAGAACCCACGGGGGCCGGTGGGCCGGTGGGCATACATGGGGTCATGATCGCGGTACAGAGGGTAGCCAGATATCTCGAGGTGGGAGATGATAGCCGCCAAGGAGGTAATTTTCATCCGTGAGCTACTGATCGACCTTGGATTTTCCATCGACGGCGCCAGCGTCATCAACTGCGACAGCAAATCCGCCGTCGGCATGGCCTTCGATCCCGTTGCCTTCAAGAAGACCAAGCACATCTTGCGCGCCGCCGAGTTCCTTCGCGATCTCGTCAGCCGTGGCGTTATCTCTGTCGAACACCTCCCCGGCGTCGTGATGCTCGCCGACCTGCTCACGAAGGCTGCCTCGCGGGCCATCTTTACTGGCCTGATCAAGCAGCTTGACGACTTTCATGCCCTCTGAATTTGTTTGTCCCTCGCGCCCCGCACTCGGGCCAGGAGGGGCTGTTCCCGGGCATTCACACTATGTTCCTGAGATAATTTGGCGATTATATCCATAAGGGATTTCATCCCTTTTTGGTTTGGAGATCCGTGTTTTGGTTTCGGTTTTGGGTAAAACGTATACAGCTGACGCGATGCGGCCTCTGCCTAGCTTCCTGCTTCTATGCGCGAGCTACGGCAGGACCGCTATCGAGTAGAGCTTGGACCTGTGACTAAAGCCGGTTACCACTGATGGATCCCCACCCGAATAACACACAGTGAGCGCCCCAGCGCTTCACTACGGTCTACGCCCTCCGCGCGAAATCGCTAGTGGTGCTTTGTGGTAGTACATTGTACTTTTGAGTAGTATGGGTACGGTGCCCGAGTCCGAAGGCGTGATAGCATGGCCGCAAGTACGCCGAATTCCCATGAAAACAAGTAAACTCGCGCCTGCGGCGAGCTGGGGGACCCAATCTCCCCCCCCCCGCATTGGTACTAGACGGAGGCCCCGCGCCCACCCAGAGCGGAGGGTGGGCGCCCCAAAGAAGGTGGAAAGGGGGGTGGGGAGGGCGGCCTAGGCGAGGATGACGGCGGCCGCAGCGGCGGGGCGGGGAGTAAGCTAAGGCACGGGGCGGTGTAGGACGCGGCGGCAGAGGGGGGGGGCGGCGGCGGGGTGGGAGGCGGTGGAGCGGGGGACGGTGAACAAGGGGAGGCAAGGGAGGTGGCAGAGGGGATGGCGGTGGCCGAAAATATATATTTCTTTTGTTTGGGCCTCGTGTTAGGAGCTGGCCCACGCTCGCAGCATGGCGCGCGGTCCTAAGAGGCACCTGAAGCGCCTCAATGCGCCCAAGCACTGGATGCTGGACAAGCTCGGTGGGATCTGGGCGCCGCGCCCCTCCACCGGCCCGCACAAGCTGCGGGAGTGCATGCCGCTCATCATCCTGCTGCGCAACAAGCTCAAGTACGCGCTCACCGGCAAGGAGTGCAAGTACATCCTGATGCAGCGGCTGATCAAGGTGGACGGCAAGACGCGGACGGACCTCAAGTACCCCGCCGGCTTCATGGACGTCATCTCCATCGAGAAGTCGGACGAGTACTTCCGGCTGGTCTACGACATTCGCGGCCGCTTCAACGTCCTCCGCATCTCAAAGGCGCGCACCGCGCCCCGTGGAGCGGCTCTCACAAGGGGGAGACGGGGGGGGAGGGAGCAAAGAGACCGAGGGGGGGGGGGGGGCGGTGGCACGCCCGAAGCGCCGCAGCCGCCTTGCTTCCGATTGCGAGAGCGCTGCTCTCGGGCGGCGGCGGCGGGGCAGCTCTCGCCGTGCCAGGAGGCGGCCTCGCTCACCCCGCACCGACGCTTGCGGACCGACGCTTCCGTCGGGGTGGCGCCGTGCCGTCAGCTCGCCTCCGGCTCCCAGCCGCTTGCGCCGCGTGCGTTCCGCTGTCCGCCGCCTCTGTTGGCTCCCGCTGTCAGCGGCTCCCCCCTCTCTCGCCCCCTCTCTTGGGGGGGGGGGGGGGCATGCGGCGCCCTCCCGCCCGCCTGGTTTGTGGCGCCCCCCACCCCCCGACCGCCTGGCCGCCCGCAGGAGGAGGCTTCGTACAAGCTCGCGCGCGTCAAGAAGCTCGAGATGGGAGCCGGCGGAGTCCCGTACGTGGTGACGCACGACGGCCGCACCATCCGCTACCCCGACCCTAACGTCAAGGCGCGTCGCCCTCCGCGTCTGAAAGCTAACCCCCTCCCCCCCTCCCCACCCACAC